AAATTTGGTATTCCGAGCGTTTCCGTAATTAGAAACTCTGAACTTTAAAATTTCAAATACTTTAAAGTTTGAAATGCAAATGTTTTCCCCCAAATTTGCCTTAGCTGTAGCCTTAAAATATTTATAAGCGATCTTTCGGAACTTTTTCTGTTACCGCTGAAAAAGAGATTAATTAAGATTGAACGCCAAGAATGAAAACAATTACAAGGAATAGCAACGACTGAGCAGAATTACAAGTCTGACAACCAGGCCTGAGGAGAGAAGCTGTAACATTTCAAAAATACTAAATACTTTTTGAAAAAGCCATAAGGAGGCTAGGGAAGTAATTTTGAACTGGCTGCGTTATCTAAATACATTCCATAGGTTAAACTTACTGCTAACGTCGACAGACTAGCTATCGATCGAGGTCTGTAACTTTAAAGTTGACTGGTTAAACCTGAATTTTGGTTCCGATAAATGAACGGGTCCTTTATAAGAAGACAAAGGTTCAGGTGGATCAAGTCTCGAGCGCACTGGTGTAGTGCACTTGAGCGTGATATAATTGTGAGATTGATAAAATTAGAACATTTTAGAAGGTTAAATATTATTTTTAAAAACTGTGACCTTTGCTACATCTTTTGGCAAATAGTTAAAGAAAGATCTCTAGTTCGATTTGTAAAGGACCTTAAAGTGTTTCTGTTCGTGAAACAAATTATAGGAGCTCCTAGGCCTTCATCAAGTTTGCGAAAATTCCGGTGTCGAAGAAAGAGCAAATTTCTAAAATAATTTAATACACTCATGGCTTGTTCATTCAGCCCGTCGTTTATCACAGAGTGTTCTTATGAAACCGACGATAATGTGTATTTTCTTTTGAGCCTTTAGTCACCCAGTTTCGCTTGCATGTTTTGTTTCTTGTTCGTAGCTCGAATCTAAAATGGTATTATCAGCTAGTAAGCATCAAATTTGCATATTTCATTAAAGAAAGGAAAGTGTCTGTATTTCAAGGGTGAAGTATTATGTTCAAGTCAGC